TAAGGCCATGGTGGAGGGAAACAGTAGACAATAGTATCAATCCAGTCTTGCACTGAGAAACAAAACCTAAACAAGAGGCCTGTTATACTGTCATGCCTAAATTCTTTGCTTACCATTTTTGTCTGCATTTGAAACCATTAAGCTGGAACTGAACAGGGGAAAAAAAAATTTACTCCAGAGCTACAGACTAGGAATACTAACTGCTTGCTGTTTACCCATAAAATCCCATGACAAAACTAAACCCTTTAGGAAGACAAGTCAAGCTATATTGAGCTATAAAGCTCAATCATGAAATAAAAGTGCATTGAACATCGAATATTCTCTCAACATGCTAAGAAACCACAATTATAACCAGATGTGTGAGTGTAAGGATATGGATATTGTTTATACAGCTGCAGAAAATAAGGAATGCAAGACAGCAACATCAATAAAAGTGTCCTAATTAAATGCAAGCTGCTAAAACACAGCAGGCCTCGCAGAGTAGCATTTCCTTCATAAAAATTTGGATTTAGTGACAAGATGTTCCCCAATATAAAGTGGTAAGTTGAAAGAAACACTATTTAAGAAACTGGGTCATCCAGTAAATGCATAAAAGTGTAGTGATGCTACCTTTTTCCATATCAAAATGCAGGTGAGAGAAGGCTGTCTTGTTTTTCTAGAAAAAGTTCATATAATCCCCTGCCCCCACTCATTAAAAAGTCATGTAATATTTTGAACTACCAAAACCTTTATTTGATATTTAGTAAGAGTCTATCTACTCTGCAATCAATGAGATTGTGAAAAAGGCAAAAGCAAAGCAATATAAAAAACCAGTCAATCAAGTACTTCCTTTGCTCATGTCACCCCTGTATTTTTAAGGCCATGTTAATTCTAGAACATCTACAGGACAGTATCACAAGGAGATGAGTGTACCTGGATATTAATTTATGTATACCTAATTCTGTGTTCCCATATAACATAAAAAGCTCTTATCATCAGCCTTCAGTGAGATCAAAAGATCAACCAACATTTCTATTCAAAAACTAGGGAATGGCCAGGTAGGTAGGAAGGGGACACAATAAGGAAGCAAAGAAGGAAAAGTCAGCCAAACCAGTAGAAAACAGGAAATTATATTAGTCCTCAAAGTTCTGAGAAAAGAGGGTTTCTACAATAATCTTTCTGCCAAAAGTTCCCCTCTAACAGCTAGAATCACACCTACCTATAAACCCTATACAAGTTTCCATCTACAGCTACAGTACACTGAACCTCCAATATTTATACTACTTAAAAACTTACAAAATTGAAGGGAAAATGCTCTTTAGGACAATCTTAAATTGGAGGGGGGCTCTAAACGGACATAGGAACAATTATAAAATGCATCTCTGTTACCTACATAAAATGTAAGATAGATGTACATTAAGATAGTGAAAGTTCTTTATTGTGCTTGTGAAGGACAAGTTCTACGTCCGTCACTTCTCATGTAATCCCAAGAACTAGAGTGTAAATTAAAAGCAGAAGTCTGAAAAAGTCTTGTTTTCACAGCTCTTTTCTTTTGGTAACAGCAGCTTCAAGGCAAGTGACACCCAAACTTCTGCATTTGGAATTTCAAATGATTTAACTGAAAGGACTTGTGAGTTTTAGGAACAACCATGTGGAAGTTTTAATCTTCAAGAAAAAGGAACGACATTGGATAAATACTTATCCATCTCAGGCATAAACTCAGTAACTTATGTGAGAACATAGATGAAAATAGCAGAGGTCTGGTATGAGTAGTTAGAGAATTCCTCCTCTTCAGTTTTCAAAAACAACAGACAATACAAGATTTTGATTCTTAAATTTATTTTTAGCAGGATATGTGTACTAACGGATGGTGACATCATTAGAAGATAGGTCCATGTCCCCCACCTGCAACAGAAGCTAGACAGATGTTAAAGAAAACAATTTAAGAGTTAAAGGTGACACTACTTACCCAGAGCAGACTTATGAAAGTCACCTACTAAGCAGTACAGTTAGCTTTTTATGCAGACACGATAGCTCATATTGTTTATCTGTTGTCCAAATTTCCTGTCAAGTTTTAATGCATACATTACCTTGATTTTGATGGGAATCGTGCACTTTGTTTAGAAATAACTATTAGAAAACCTCTTATTTTTAAAAAAGTACTCATGGAAAGACTGGTTATTCCAAGTTACTTACCTGTACATTTTCTTCAGAAGACAAAAGATCTGCACATTTAGGTTTAAAGCTCCCATCTGAAGTTTAGTCAGCAAGAATTGGCCAGGAATTCAAATTCTAATACTGTTAAACCAGGTCAACAGTAGGTAACATTTCTAGATTCCACTAAGAATACAACCACTTGTTTCTTACCATACCTGGGTGTTTGACAAAGCAATAAGGTAGGATCTCAGCAATATACTCACAGATGGGTGATACTAATTCAGAAAGAAATGAAGACTTGATATGTTACAACCCAGAGACTGTGTTCTCCTCAAAAAAATGTCAATAGCCAAAAGTAACAGGAGGAAACAGCTTGTCTAGATCAAATGAATTTCACCAGAAACTGAAGTTGAACAGCAAAACTCGGGACAGACAATTTAGGAAAGACATTCTCAAAGAATTAGGTGACAGGCCCTTTCCCAGTGCTATTTCAAATGAGAAGCCAAGAAACAAGGCTCAATCTGAGGTATGGTATTTCCCAAAACTGTAAAAACAGAGTCCTTGCTTCAGAAAACAAGTTCATCTGGCTACAGGTGTTTAGTATTTACATCAAAGATAATTTTTTTTACTTTTAAGAAATGGCTAAGAAAACCTCAAACAGAGAAACTAAGTCAGCTGGCCCTATATACAGCATCATGAAGACCTCCTGATCTGACATTTCAAAACTTCAAATGCTTACCAGCCTGCATTTCCCAATGCAAAAGGCACTACTGGTAGTGAGCATAAAGTTACTTCACTCATCTTAACACAAGCTTCGAAACTTGATTTTAAGGTTCTTTTTCTTTACAATCTCTTGGCTCACAGCTCTTTATTAGTACCTTGGGTTGATACCATCTTGGCTCACAGTTCTTTATTTGTAACCTGCATTTATACCACACTGGCAGTACACCGTTCTTCAGTGTACCTCAACATCCTAGGACTTAATCTGTTTAAAACAGACTGCTACAGATACTGAAGACTGGCTCCTGCTTTCTGAAGAAAGACCTCTGAAACCAGTCTGAAACTGGAAGTGTGCTGTATTAGAATGAGATTCTTTAACAGTTTAAATAATTCAGCCAAGAAACCCAGTTTTAAGGACCATGACAGCCTGGGAATAAGCAAATGCTTTCTCTTACAGCTATGAACTCTTTGATCTAGTAATACTGAAAAATTAAACTGTTTTGTATTTGTTGAAAACAACCAACAAGAATGGAATCTCTTCACAGCTGTACTCCATTTGTAATTTCTGATTAATTGAGCTCTTTTGTTTTTACAGAAGTCTAAATCTGTCTCAAGGACCAAGCCACTGCCTTTTGAGCAACTCACTATCCCAATGGTCTACTATACCTCAACAGAGTCTAATTGCTGGTAATGATTCACAAAAAGAAGTGAGTGTTTCAAGACAATCAATCCTACACTGGTACTATGGGACTCATCCTTCAAACACATCACACACACACCCCCAAGAGAAGGTAGGGCAGGTGATTAAAAGCTTAAAGCTTCCTGGTTTTTAATCACCGAGGTTCCATTGTGAGGTTGGATCAGTTGCTACTGCAATCAGCACTACCATGCATACCATCTATCTTACGTGAAGTTGGTTGATGTTCTTCCCACAGGATAAACACAGTGAAGTTGATAGGAAGAACCTTCATCAATTGCTTTTCTGCGAGGCATAGAGCAAAGGAAGTAAGTCAGGAAATAACAGTAGTCTAGGAATGACACAACTGATCTGAATGATCACTTCAGCTACATTATGAACAGCATATTCCTGAACATAGACACCACAAAACCCAAAATCAAGTTATGGAAGGGTAAAGAAACCACAGAGTAAAGAACATCTCGACAGGTCTGTATGATATGAAACCTGAAGAGCAATTAATTTGTGCACCATGTAAGGATTACATGCATATGCTGCAGTTACAGGGCGCTGCAATTGTTCAGCTATCTCCCCTTGCAAAAGCATGCAGCTTCAGTTCTATTACTCTAATACCCAACTTAGTGCTGGAACCTATGTGTCGAAGCAGAGATGAGATTTGGGAATCAGCGGACATGAAATTATGGATCTATTTAGGATACATGGGGTGTTCAACAGGAGGCTTGACAGTATTATGCGTCAGAAAAGGAAAAACAGATGACTGGTAATAGCAAAGAGCAGAATAACTTAGGAGATCATTTGCTCATAACAAGTTGTTCACTCTGCATCCTTTTTTTATTAATGATTTGTCCTGTCCTAATGGTGCTGGTACTACAAATGCTCCTAACCACCTGTGTTAGAGACTGTAGAACCTAAAACCACATTTTACTGGATTTAATGGATGCTTGAGTCAGGTTAAAAAGTTGTGCTAAAACCAGTAATTAAATTCTTATCCTTTAAGTGCCTTTGCAAAGCTACAACTACCAGAAAGATAATTCTATTCACAAAAAGGGTATTACTAAACAATGTAATACACAACTAAAACGTAAAACAATGAATGAAAATAACAAGAAAAAAAATTAAGAATTAAGTTTGTACCATTCAGGATAAGACTTTCTATCCATATTATTAAAACTAAGTCTGTATATATAATGAAAACTGAATAGGCTGAAAACCAGGAAGACAAACACTGAAGCAGTGACAGTTGTAACATTACCTAATGTTGAGCTGGTTTAATAGATTTAGAACACTAGAACAAAAAAAAAAATCTTGTTATAAATGTGCTGGAAGCAAAGACCTAACAGTGGTGATTAAATATTTACCTTTGGAAAGAACATTTGTTTAGGCAAACTAAAAACATTTGCAAGAACAAGCTTTAGTGAAGAATGGACTAAAACAAAACATTACGCACTTCCAGCTTATGCTCTTTCTCTGCAAGGAATTCTTTCTGACATCGGAGAAAGTCCGACAACATTCGAGTTAGCTGTTTTCTATCATCTATTTCAGCTGCCAACCTGCCATTGTAATCCGCCAGCAACATACATGCATCATCTACCATTTTGGAAAGTTGCTCTCCAGATTCCTTATCTAAAAAGCAAGCAGAGAAAAACAAGGAAAGTATGATTTCATTATATACTGTTAAGTTCTCAGAACAGCATTTCAGTTACTGGATCCCCAACCCTCACCTGTTATTCTGTCTAACAGGGACACATCTTGGACCTCTATAGGCAAAGAAGCTATTCTCTGATGAACTGCTGCATCCCCAGAGGCAGCATTTTCTAGTTCTTGTAATGCTCTAATGAGATCTGTGGTCTGAAAAAAGCATGCAAGATTGAGAACTAGTTTAAATAAACAGATCCTAGTACAAAACAGTATTTCACAATAAGCTTATGGAATGATTTTGATGGTAATTTTAAAAGCATTTATGGTATCAGCATTATAGCAACATTTTATCCCCTCTCAGACTGAAACCAAAACAAAACTAAGCTATTCATTCTCAGAAAAGCATTGCAGTGCTCCTAGTTTTAAATGTCACCTTGCTAAAATAAGATTTTTCATATAAATTCTTGGTACAGGACTGCAAATCTTATTTTTGACAGTAGTGATTGTTTTACAGTACCTTTCATTTTACTATACATTTTTGAAATTATTTTTCTTGTAGTTTTGGCTTCACTATCACATCAGACTAGATCAGTGCACTTCTTTTGGAAGTAGGGCTGATGTTCATAGAAGCCCAGATGTCTATTACAGAGAACCATACTAAGTTGTGATTGTTCGAGGACACTCATTCCTTGCCACACCAAAAAGCCTTCTGAGATGGGGCAGTACCATAACAAAAAACCCTACAGGAGTTATAAGAGTCGTAACAATGCAAGACAGACAAGAACTTCTCAAACATCATGATTGTAACATTGAGAAATATTTTACTGATAAACCAATAACAATCCTGTTCTAATAAAAGGTGTTACTGGTTACACCCTGGAAACCAAATGAGAAGCAAAAATACTGTAGAAACTAATGCTGAAATCCTGATTTGGACAAAACTGGATATATACTTCACACATTCCAGTTTGGTGTTAAACTGACTAAAGTTACAGCACACTCAACTTCTTAGCTCCACTTGTAACCTAAAGTACTGTGAAGAAAAGTTTCTGGTGTAGTCACCCTTGCTCAGAAACAGCCTCTCATTAAAGAGAAAAACAGAGACCGTTCAAAAACAACAGTAACCGAAAAACTCTGTAACAAACCATATGCAATACAGAATTTTATAAACGTGCTTACCTGTGGAGGTTCAGTGGGAGAACTTCGAGGTGAACAGTTATTTTCATCAACTTTTATCTGTTCGTATGTGCGCTTCCTCACCTTTCTGTCTCCATCTAAACGAAAACAGAGGAGTCAGAGAAACAGTATTTCAAACAAGAGACTGAATCTTCATACACACACAAAATACTTACACAAAGCTTGCCTAAGTTGTTCTAATACATCATTTTCATAAACAGACCTTTCTTCCCAGATAGAGAGCACTCGGCCAAGGTGTTTCTTACAACTCTCATCAGACTCACTGTTACAAGAAAAAAAAGCAAAAGTACAGCACTGTCATATGATTATCTTTCACAGAAGGACCTTTGATAAAGTACCAGAAGTCCAGTAATCTCAGAAAATAACAAAATCACATTTTAAAGAAAGCAAAGACCAGTTCAAGATTTCTTAGCGGCATACTTTGATAAAGTACCAGAAGTCCAGTAATCTCGGAAAATAACAAAATCACATTTTAAAGAAAAGAAAGCAAAGACCAGTTCAAGATTTCTTAGCAAGCACATAAAAAAGCCAACGCCCAATTCCCTCTTTCTGTTTGCCTTCTCAATCCATAAATCTGTAGGTCTGTAACCCTATTATGCAAACACTGCAAATAGGTTTGTGTGGCTTCAACAGCTGTGTATCATGTGAAAATAATTCTGTATCAAGACTCTAGCATCCTCATGCAATAAGATGAATGGCTACTGGGAAAAAACAAATCATGCAACACTAGTAATGAAACATATCAAACTGTTGTAGCATATAAACACAGACTGAAAGAAGGTCTTAGGGCATAACTAACAGCTTTCTAAGGCAAAAGGGACTGAATGCGTATGAATTTACTACATAACTTCATCCAACATCATTAAGACTATCCAAGATCAAAAGAACACTGAATAAATTGAATTAACAAGACTTCAAGTACAGAAATAGCACACAAGGACTAGCTGGGTCAGAAGCAATGAATTGAAGACTTCTCTAAATCCTCTTCAAATACAGTATGATGAAGGACACTGCACATAGCAGTTTACTGTACCTTGAAACATGCTTAAAAGCCTCCACTATTACTGGAGCAAAGTCTTTCGTAAATTCTGGTCCTTTCCTTTTGCTGTTCTGTATGACATCATTGGCCAAATACAGGAATGTCAGCTTCCTATTTGGTTTTGCTAATAAAAAGAGCAGTAAACAAGAATAATTAGAAATTTTAGTTCCTCCAATCTATTTACACACATTCATACTAAACACAAAAAACCTAAATCAAATGTGTTTTTCCTATTCTCATTACTGCTTACAGCATTTCACTCTAATTTTGTACTTAAAAATGTGAAAATACTTTGGTCACCCATTGGCTTTTCTCTCTTCTGCTCAGATTCTTCCTCCTTCATAATATGACACAAGTTCCCTCTAGCCTCATCTCCAAAGAGAAAAAAACATGACATTCCCAAGTGTTCTTCAGCCCCCAACTATTTTCAGGTGTTTTCTTGAGCCCAATGTGATTTGTCTCTTGGTAGCCTTCATAAATTTCTTCCATGTACTTTAGCTTCCCTTTGAGCCTCCATAAATTTCTTACATACACCCATTATTAAATCCCCTGACAAGGTGCTTCACAGATCCGCAATCATTCATGTGAAGAACCTCCTCCTTTCAGTTTGAATTTCACTCAGTCTTGTATAAGCACCCCTCATTCTTGTATTTGAGCAAACTGAGCAGTCAATCCCGAGTCAATCTCTCCATATCACTGTGATACTCCCCTCACTCATCTCCTAATCATTAAAACACCCATGTGTCTGCAGCTGTAATAGCAAGAAAACATTTTCCAGAATCACTTTCAGGCTGCTGCAGGTCTCTCTTCTCCAAGCGTCTTAAGAATTTTACCCCATTCCCATTAACGTGCAATAGATTACAAGCCTCCAATTTACAAGTTGCCTTTGAAAACCTATTGCATGTTTTCTAAGTATTCCTACTCAGGCATTTTCATTTACCATCACACTTCATATAATCTTCACCTTCTACAGGTTTCTCAGAGCTGCAACTCTTATTGTGCACTTTAACCTTGCATTAACACCAGAAAAACTTTCAGCATCCATTACCACCACACAGTCTCGGTAGGTATGCTCCGACTTTAAAAAAGGTTTCTCCTGCAAGACAAGATTTAAGATTTTTCTGCCCTCTTGAGGAAAGTAGCACTATGGTAAAGCAAATCAAGCATTTCCTAAAACTCGTGCTTAGTACCCAATATGATTTGATTTTGTCAATTGCCATTGCACCCTCTCAAATATGCAGAAACAGTACCCTCACATACAAACAAAATTCAATGTTGATATGCTTCCATTCTAAAGAAATGTTTTGGGGAATAAATTTTGCACTATATAAAGACTTCTCTGAAGGATTGCTCCTTGCAGTATTGAATTTTTCCCATCCTCTTGGACAGATGTATCCAACAAGTAAAGAGTTCTGGATTAAGTGGGGAAAAAAACCCCGTGCATTAAAGGTAAAAATGCACCTCTCTTAGAATCAAGGCAAACTAAAATGCAGCGAAAAAGAATTAGTTTGGAAGTCCTGGATCTATTAAAAGTCTGCTCCAAACAGTGAAGTCACTACATGCACACACTCAGGAAATTCAACTATTTGAGGTCAAAATCTGGCTAAATTAAAATGTAGATTTTTCTGAACTTATACTACTTAATTCCTGTATTAAAAATTGACTAACAATATAGCAACACTTCTACCTATGTTTCAGGTAAATCCTAGTTCTGACACATATAAAGCTTTGAATTATTCAAACAGAATATCTTAGAAAACACATCTTGTCTCACAGATACACCAAAATTAACTAGCATTTACCAAAGCTGACCCTGACATCCCCCCCTGCCCCCTTTCTTAAGTGAGCCCAGAATTAGGACTCAAAACCTAATGAAGCAGACTGTTCCCCATACTACATTTTCCGAACTGCATGCAGGATATGTCCTTGTCCACCCATTTCACAGAAAAAAGGTCACGTTTTCATCCTCAGTGATGTAACTCATTTGTGACAGATGCAATTTCCTTGTTTCCAACAAGTAACCAAATCAACTGAGCTGGTAAAGACAGGAGATGTATGCAGTGCCATGAAGTCAGGTGATGTTGATTGTCACAAAGCCTAGACTTTATCTATTCACTACAGTAAACAGAGTAATATTGTGTATTTGGAAAAACCATGCTAAAACCCAGAAAAATTACTTTCAGGCTTACTTCCTCTAGTATTACCTTTTCAGATTCCTACTACAATACAACAGAAACAAAGCTGCATTTAATGAACAAAAATCCTCAAAACACTATTAAGCTATCTGTGGCTTTGGTTACAAATTCAACTAATATTCTACCTTTATGTTCACAAAGAATATTGTGAAGTAAAATTTAACTCCTCTTGCTGTAAGAATGCTCTGTGCAAAATGCCAAAGCTAAAAATTACCTACTACTCTCACAAAGCGTTCCCTTTCACTTCACAAATCTTCAGGAGTTGCATACTGGCCTACTACTTCTTTGCCTTACAAGAGACTGAAGTGTAATATAACCTTTAGCAACTGAGGTTGACAACTCTGAGCTGAAAAAACCCAAATGCTCTATTAGTTACTATGACTGTAAATTAACTATAATACAAAATTAAATTCCAGAGACGAGATAAATGTGTTCTGAAAAACATTATCTGTTTTAAGCATCACTCTTCAGTAACAGCGACACTAACTTTTCAGCCCTGGGCTTTGATATACCTCAGAACACCAAAATGGATCAAAGAACAGTTAGACTATTTCACAGTGTCATTGACACATGGGAAGGCTATTAGCAAAAGCACTTTTACTGACAGAAGAAAATGAAAGAAAAAAGGTATGAACTTAGGTTAAAAAAAGGATCTGAAAGGCACATACTGCTAGAGCGTACAGTGTTAGAAGTAGGTAGCTCACAGTATTTCTGGTACACAAACAGTACGGTATGCAAACACAAACTACTAAGAAAGCATCCATGTTGGATTGAGTCATCTTTTCAGAAGCTCTGTGCAGTGTTCACGTAACTCTTCTGCTTGCTTCGGTTAGATTTACCATTTACCCACCAAAGCAGCTCCCTGAAGTGCTGAATTCTGAAATATTTTAACAGGTCAATGGAGCTGGCTGATATAAGGGCCAATATTAAACAGATTACTCTTAAAGCATCCACAAAGAAACTAACTGGGATTGGCAACTTGCAGCTGAAGTGAAGTCTGTCCTGAAAACATATCTGACATTTAAATGCCAATGAATACTCCACAGCTATTCATGGTATTTCACCTGCAACTAGTGTAATCAGGCATCTATGGTGGAGAGATTTACCATCCTCATTATCAAGTCTTAAGTTTTCAGCAATCTATACTTCTTAGGAATGCATACTTGTTAGCCTGGCCTGGGTATTTCTGGTTCTTTACCAGTCCAATATAGATGCCCTGACATTGTATGCTTAAGTCCATAACACTTGGAGAACTCTAACACTGAAGAGCCAACATTTCAGTGCAAGAAACTCTAGTATTTTACCTTGGAAAGCAGTAAGCATGTTGTTTTCACTGAGGTTAACTCTGGCAATCAAAGCCAACATAATCACCTGTATTTGTCTTCTCCCCAATTACCTCGTGGCATTGGAAATAGAGCTCCCATGAAGATTGCTAGAAACACGCCCATTAGTTTCATGCTGTTCTATATTTCTTCCCTAGAGCTGAGAGAGATTTGCCGTCTTTGATATACAAGAAGAAACTACAGAGAAACACACAGGCAATAAGGGATTTCACTTACAAGTGTACGGACTATTGACCCATCTGAAAATGTTGAATCAGGCTTTAGTGTTCTACACACTGGCTCTGCTATGCCAACTGACCTTGAATTAAAATATAATTTAACCAGAGGTTTTGAGAAAATGAGCATCAGTAGGTTAAAAATCCCACAACACTTATCAGTACTAAATGGTTTCCTTTTAACTAAAGTTCTCTAATACAGATTCAAATAAAGATTTGGCTCAACTGCTTCTGAATTGCATTAGTCTACATACATGCAGCAGAGTAAGAGCAACAGATGTGCTTCTCTCCAGATCCCTGGCACACTTCGGGTGTCAATAGCATGCTTCATATCTCTGCATGAGAAGTTACACGACATCTTCGTAAACATCTGACAAGCTTTCAAGATTTTTATTATGAGACCCAACTCATCTTTTTTTAAGCCAAGCACCACTGAAACTTGAGTGCAAGATCACTGACCCTTCACACTGAGAGCTAGCCTGAGTTTTTATGCAAGCTGATTAAGGGCAGCATCTTTGGTAACACAACTGAAAGTGTATCTGTAAAAAGTCACTTGAGAGGCTACCACCAGAAAGGACAACTGAAAGATAATATAATCCATAAAAGACATGTTGTACAACGAGCACTTAATCTTAAAATTCATTAACCTTCTGTTTTGAAAAAGTTAAACTAAGTGTTCAACATTGCACAGTCACCCGATTCTCCTGGTGAATTTTACTATGGTTTGAGAACAGCTGTTTCCTCTACAAAGAGGGGAATGAGATGGGCCATAGAATGTGCATTCAAGGTTTGAGGGTCCAAGTATCTTGACTTTGAGTTTAGAGGCTAGTAGAGAAAGGGAACACAGCATACAGCCACCACTGGGAAACAGGCCATCAGCATCAAATTACCATGAGGATGCGAGAAAGTTGGTCACAAACCAAGGAAACCATTCCAACATAATTACTGTGCAGAAGCTTCCCACTGCACTTAGTGTATTCTTCAATTACCTGAACACATTCCTTCCATTGCCTGGCGTGCACAATGCCAAGATAGGTATGGACCACAGCAGCAACAACAGGTTTAGGATAGGAAAAAGACACTTAAGCACTCAGAAACAGAATAATGAAAGACAGGCAGGTACAGGTAAGATACCAGGATACGCGTGGTACAGCAATAAATGAATATAATTTGTACACACTGCATTCTTTCAAGACTAATATTACAGTCAACTAGTCAGCCTGGATTACACCATCCAAATGTGACCACTTTAAGTGAAAGGTTGCTAATCTGTTGCTCCTCACTGTAGGTCATTAATCCAAATGTGACCACTTTAAGTGAAAGGTTCTTACGTTGCTAATCTGTTGCTCCTCACTGTAGGTCATTTTGTAAATTATATATGTAGAAAATACAGTTCTCCAACTGAACTCAACAACTCATGTTCATCTGAAGTTTTGTCTGCTATTGGTTGGCCTCCAACCCTTTTTGCATAGATGAGAAGATTCATATGGATAAGCAGGAAGGTACCCACAAGCACCTCCATCTTGCATATCTTACTGGCCTCCTCAAGAATACCTCCTGACCAGTGAAATCAGTAAGCCATAATTTTTGTTTCTTTTAAATAAAACAAAATCTAATTACTCTCTCAAGTGTATCACATTGGCCATTGACACTATAGCACCATTAAGTAAAATAATCTTACAACCACCAGTAGAGAAAGATTCCTTCTCTTGGCAGAAAAACTACACTACATAGTAAAGAAAACAATTGTTTTAAATCAGCAACTTGTTTCCTGAAATCCACTTCACATCTGCAGGGCAATATATTTCTACCACTTCTGGCTGTGGTTCTGCTCCAAAGCAGTTAACTGGGTATCAGAGTAATTCAGATGTAGTACAACTTTCAAATCTGGTTTCAGCGTTGCTAGGCCTTCTCAGTTTGCTGACTAAGATCCTCCATCTTACCATTTTCAGCAGCATTGAGCAACTGCCACAACAGCCACTAGCTTAAGAAAAATGTATTGCATCAATGCCAACAGCTGTAATGAGTGAGGACCCAAACACTAGCATATGTCCCAGCAGCAGAAGTTGTAGCCATCAATAAGCAAAACCAGTTGCTTCTTATACCACAGAACGACTTCAACAACCCAAAACAAAAGTTCAAGCATAACAAACTGGAACAGCAGGTAAACTGGCAGTTGAGTACTAAAAATATGTCCCTCTGTAGCAGCCCAGATGTACTTACGACAATTGTAGCTGTCTTAAGGACAATACGCAATGGCTCTGCTAACCTGCATAAGCCCTGCAGTGAAGACAATGATCAGTGTGTGACAGGGGTTGGGTGACAGATGACAGCCAGAACAAGCGGTCAAGCGATTGGGAGGGGGAAGGGGGTTGTTCAGCATCAGTTTCTGAGACTGACTAATCTATGAGCTTCCATGTCAGGCTCTGAGGAAACAGATACCTGAATCTGAAATTAGGTTTAAAGATACAGCACAACAACTATCAAACTATCACTAGGATGTAAATACCTAACAAGTAACAGAGCTAGACCTGGAAAAGCTAACAGAAAATCAGTTGTCGGGGAAAAAAGAAAAAAAAAAGCTTGAAATAAAAAGTCCCATATTACCATACTCAAACATTTAGTAATTTTATTGTATTTTTCCCTTTTAAACAGAACACATTTTAACTTAGTACAGCAAACATCACATGAAGCCTACTGAACAAACACTTACTATTCACCCTTGAAAGCTGATGCTTTGAATTATAAAACTGGAATTTTTCATTTCAAAACAAAACACACAAGCAAACAAACCCCTACAGTTGCAGACAATCTTGAAACCAGGGAGCAAGATATGTAGGAAAATGAACATACACGATTTGCAAATAAAAATAAGCCTCAACAGCCTACATCCCAGAAGAGCCTCTTCAAGGGCTAAGGTTCCTAAGGGTTTTCTCAGCAGCCACTGAGTGGCTGCATGCTTACACAACAAAATTATATGTGTAATGCCACTACTTAGTTTAAAAAAAACATGCAAGTCAATCCCTTTATGGATACACAAAAGTAAATAGTTTTAACAAGCCCATCAGTTACATTTAGGGAATGACTGATGTATTCACATTACAGCTAATTAATCAGTACTACTTAACTACTTAAATACTGAGTAAGTTTACGACTACTACGTAATTAACTATTTAACTTTAAGTATTAAATTTCATACATTTGAAATCTAGCTGAAGCAGGATCATTTTCCTCAGTGCACACTTTTCAAGCCTTTACAAAATTCTACCTAACCCCCACTCAGAAGGCCTCTGTAAAATAATTAGATTGCGGCAACATTATCACGAAAGTTAATCCACACAAGTTGCCTTGAAGCAATCATGCAGCTGCGATCTCACAAGTACGGAAGGAAAAATAAGCCACAGTTTTCTAGAATAAAAATCTAAACTGCATGAGATTCTCATGTTAGTAAGACATTTACTACAAATGAGGTATTGAAAGAGTAGCCTCCCCACCAAATTATTCCATAAATCAACTATGAAATTCAAAAGAATGCAGACTCATGATCAGCATTAAGCCAGTGCTAACACAGGCTGCGGCCTAAAGGGGTGACACCATCCTCACAGTCTCCTTTCTGCCAGCACCAGCTTTCCACCAGGGAACTCATTTATTTCAAAAATAATTATTGGTTTTGCTGGATTTTCAGAGCAGCGCAGCACAAGACACTGTCAGCAAAAAAAGCAACAGAAATATTTAAAGACATATTTAATCAACAGCACAGTAGAAAAGGAGCTGTTCTGTTGTCATTGTAGACCTCTGCTTATCTGTCAAAACAGGAGAAATCTTTATTTCACTGCAGTAGTCATTTAAGTTAAAGGCCTTCTATTAATCTTTTCTCATCATTTTACTTCCCAGTGAACTAAAGATCAATGAACTAAAGAACTTATTCTCCACTAATCATAGTAACAGCGAAAAAGACCAACTACCTACACTAAAATGTGGAGTACCTGGAGTGACATCTGAGTGGTTTTGCACAGGTGCAGAATCAGGAATACTTAATACCCCAGGCAGAGCACCAGCTCTGCCACAGCCCCACCCGAGCGGCACAGTTTATCCAAACATTTCCCATTAGCCCATATTTTAGGTCAGCCATTATGCAGCATGTCTCTACACTCAGTCTCTTGAAGCATGTAATATGCAACTCCTTATCATAATTTCACCAAACTACTGGTTATATAAGATGACATCCTCTCCTTAAATATTTGTGACACTAGGAGTGTCTGGACAATTCAGGGTTATCAATACTTTCACAATACAGTCAATTCTAGAATACACTACAGTAGCTTTCCTCCATTTTTTTATTATTTCTAAGAACATTCCTATGAATTCTACATGGCAGTATTTTAAGAACTGCATATAAAAATTATGGTAGCATTAGGGAAAAAGCATATATGTATACTCCTTCAGTAATCAGTTACATCCACTGTCTTAATACAACTTTACACTGTAATCCAACATTACGCAACTGCTCCCAGTTATGACAAAGACGTGCAAGTTTTGCCCATTCTCCAAGTTTACATCCAAGAATTCACCAAGAGAATCAATGAAAGTTCAGCTGTAGAAAGCCTGTAGATGAAGGTGTACAGAACCAACAATCTGTAGAGATACCCTAATATGGGACCTGAACACTACCAACTGATCCAAGTAAACAGCAAGGGACTAAGATTTTATGTTGCCTAAGTTATATGCACATTTGAAAAGCTGCCTCTTCACCTCTACTCCAACATGATAGAAAGACAACTGTTTTTAAAATAATAGAAGCAGAACCAAATATTTAGGAAGAAGAGATGTGATCCTAGCACTTGTTTTCACAAATAACTAGAGACATCTTCAGAAAGGTTCATGCAAGTCAATTTGACACAAGGGATCTTTTACCAAAACTGAAAGCATCCAGAAAAAAATGTAGTATCACAC